CGTCTCATACTATAGGCGTCTGTGTCTGACGATTTCCTGTTCAGCGGTGTGCTTCCCAGCTCCCTATCTTGCAACTCCAATCAAGTCAAGCCAAACACCGTCTCTCATAAAAATGAAAGAATGCTGATAACTATTTGGTTGCAGCTCTGATAGCAGACCGATCTCAGGCGTCTAGACTGTAGACTGATGCTTCGCAGCATTCCCTGTCGATTGGTGTGCATCTCAGCTCCTTAGCTGGCCTAGATCTCGGATTCAATTCAGGAAACGCACGTCATCTCTCATATTTTTTTACAGTGCGCATAGTTTCCCAGTCGGAGCTAAGGTTGCAGGACAAATCCAGACGCCTCGATACCGTAAGCGAATGCACCTGGTGACCTTCTGCTTCGGGAAGCGCTTTCTAGCTCCACAGACAGTCTACAGCTCTAATAAAGTAGGGGAACCTACCATCATCTTGAAAAACTAGCATAGTACGAATAGTTGTTTGGTGCCAGCTCTGGTAGCAGACCAAGTTCGGGTATCCAGATACTTGAGACTGGCGCTCCTGATGAATGCCTTTCGATTGCAGTGCCGAACAGATCTGCAGCTCATCTGCAGCTCGAGTTAAGTTCAGAAAATCATCAGAGTACGAACAGTTGTTTGGTCCCAGCTCTGGTAGCAGACCGATCGCACGCATCCAGATACTTGAGACTAGCGCTCCTGCTGATGTCCGTTCGATTGCTGTGCCGAACAGCTCTGTCGCTCATCTGCAGCTCGAATTCACTTAAGAAAAACGACAGCAGCTGCCAAGATGACACTCAACAGCCGATCCCGCCCACCTACTTTTTGATAGTAATATCCACCCCATCGATCTGGGATCAAGATGGCGAGCGGGCATAAGATCGAAGATGGGTGGGAAAAATACTGAAGAATGGTTGAATTTCAGAAAAACTGATTTTAAACCAACCAAAGAGATTCAAAACATGCGTCGAGCTTTTCTGGCCCAATCAGCCCGCCAGCGCGCCAGGATTACTCTCTAGCTTCGCCGCTTCGCTCTTAGGGATGCTCTACGAGTCAATTGTCAATTCGTTAAAGTTTGCCCCCCGATATTCGATGTTGCTCCCGCTTGCCATCTCGATATCGGGTCGATCGGGTGGATATTACTATCATGAAGCACTCAGGCGGGATCGGCTGTCCAGTGTCATATTGGAAGGCGTTGTCGGTTTTCTTTATTTAACTCGAGCTGCAGATAAACTACAGAGCTGTTCGGCACAGCAATCGAAAGGAAATCATCAGGAGCGCTAGTCTCGAGAATCCAGATGCCTGAGACCGGTGTGCTACCAGAGCTGAGACCAAAAAACTATTCGTACTCTGCGAATTATTTCAGAGATACTGATCTTTTTCTCTTCTTCACTCGAGCTGTAGGCTGGCTATGGAGCTGAGCAACACTCTCCGAAACAGGGAGTAATCGGGCACATTTGCTTACGGTATCGAGACGTCTGAGTTTGGCCTGCAACCATAGCTGCGACTGAACAACTACTCGGGCTGTACAATTTTTACAAGAGACAATGTGGGTTTTTCAATTGAATTCGAGCTCTAGGCCAGCTACGGAGCTGAGATGCACACCAATTGACAGGGAATGCTGAGAAGCACCAGTCTAATGTATCTAGACGCCTGAGATCGGTCTGCTACCAGAGCTGCGACCAAATAACTATTTGCACTCTTCCACTTTCATGAGAGACGGCGGTGGATTTCTGTAGTAATTCGGGTCATAGGCAAGCTAGGGAGCTGAGAAGCAGACCGCTCGACAGGAAATCATCAGACACAGTCGCCCACAGTATCGAGACGTCTGAGATTGGTCTGATGCCCGAGCTAGAACTGAACAACTACATGCACTCTGCAGTTTTTCGTGAGGGATGAGAGATGGCGCTTGCTTTCTGTAGCCAATTCGAGCTGTCGGCTAGATACGGAGCTCAGATATACGCCAATCGACAGGGAATGCTGAGAAGCGCTAGTTCAAAGCATTTAGACGGCTGAGATCGGTCTGTTACCAGAACTGCAAGTAAAAAACTATTTGCGCCCTTTCGATTCTAGACAGATGGTGTTGGTTTGCTCAACTTATTTCGAGCTGCAGGCAAGCTACAGAGCTGGAGAGGACGGAAATGCAAGCGGTAGTCCGCAGCATCACGAACTCGAGCTGCGGACAAGCAAGGAGCTGTGAAGCACCCTCGCGATCGCGCGCGCAATCGCACCCTCGCGCGCGCGAGGAATGCGAGATTGTCGCTCAGTTGCCGTTCGTGTATATCGCAGAAAGCTCTACGAGTTCCCGGCGGTAACAAAGGCTGACGGTTCACCGCCGGCTTTGAGTGGCGAGGGGAGAAGATCGAGCATTGGATCAAAATATTAGAACTCTGACGTTTCTTGAATTTCGAGAAACATTGCCTTGCAAGCCGAAACTTTTCGAGCCAACTCGCCCCCAGCGCGCCGGAATCACTCTCTAGCTTCGCGGCTCCGCTCATTGGGAAGCTCTACGAGTCACTAGGGAATGCAACTTCGGAGTTCCAACACGAACAGTTCAATCTCTCAGAATCTTTCAAACCGACCCCGGATCGTCAAATTGTCCGCCCGAGCCGGATCGGCCAACTAGCTTCACCCCGCACCGGAATTAATGTGAATCATCGATGTCAAGAACATTACCCGAAGCCGAAATTCCACTAGCTCATCCCATATACCTAAAAACGGCTTCATGCTCATACTACCTTCTAGAGAGCTGCAGGCACTGGGAGCCGGCGGTAAGCCGACCAGGTTACTGCCGGGACCCCATTGTAAATATAACAGAACCGAAAGTGTTATCTTGCCTGAGTTAACCACGAGTTCGAAGCCGAATTCCTGATTGAAGAACTCATTATCGGTTATTCAGAACGGGCCCAACGTCGTTCTTTAACCCGGAGTTCGGGCCCAAACCCGAAGTCTTCGTTCAAGTTTGGGCGCGAACACTCTGCATCATCGGCGCACGGGCCCTATCGATCGAATAACTACACCTGATGTGCCAAGTTTGAGCCCGAACTCGAACTCTCAGTTCGAGTTTGGACATCAACTATCGCACATACGTCTTTTTAGCCCATAGTTTGGGATCGTCCTCGAACTCTGAAAACTAACAAATTTCGGAAGAATGCTCCAGTGTAGAATTCCGGCTGAACTCGAACTCCGGTTCAAGTTAAGGCCGGAACTACCGAAATAAGAACTCTCCCAGAGGGTTGTTCGGGCGCGATCTCACGAACGATCAACTCTATCCATCGATGCCGTTGTTCGATTTCCCCCTGGGGCGCGCGCGCAGCCACGTTGGTTGTTCGAAGCGAACTGAACCGAACAACTCTGGTTGACGGTTTACCGCCGGCCCCCATTGGCCCACCCGGCTCGGGCGGACAATGTGATCACCTGGGGTCGGTTTTTTGAAGATTCTGAGAGATTTAACAGTTCGTCATGAGAATCATTATTTTCCTCACGCGTAGTGGGTTATGCCGCGTCTGCCTGTGAATTCTTAGGTCCGTAGCTGCCAAATTACTGTTAGAAGACGTGGAGGAACCGACGCCGTATCAAACCCGAACAGACATGTTTGCGAGTTGACAAGCTGATATTCGAGATCGCTCCCTTCTCGTAATCTGAGCACTGACCTGCGCGTTGAGAACTCTACGAGGTGTCTGGCGGTAACCTGGTTGACGGAATACCGTCGGCTTCGATTTGGCCATTCCGGCCCGGGCGGACAATGTGGGAACTTTGGGTCGGTTGGGCAAACATTGCAAGAGATTTAATAATTTGTTATGAGAACCAAAAAATACAGGTTTTCAAGCTGATACTCGAGAAAGCTTTCTCCGCGTAATATAAGCAATAGTTCGCGTTTCGAGAGCTCTACGAGGGTCCAGGGGGTAGCCTGGTCGACGGTTTACCGCCAGTTCCAGTTCAGAAAACCGACAGTACCTGCCAAGATGACACTCAACAGCCCATCCCGCCCACATGCTTTTTGATAAAAATATTTACGGATCGTCCTCAGATCAAGGAATCAGGTCGAACATGGGGAAACATATATTAGAACTCGAATGAATGGTTGAATCTCGAGAAAATAACTTTAAGCAGGCCACCAAAAACAAAACACCCATCGAGATTTTCCCAGCTAGCCCGCCAGCGAGCCGGGATGACCTTCTAGCTTCGTCGTTTCGCTCTTAGGGTAGCTATACAAGTCATTATTCGGATCTCTACTTTTGTTGCTTGACTCTCAGGGAAGCTCAAGTCATTTTACAAGATTGAAAACTCAAAAAATCAATGTTTCGAATTTATACGAAGCTCCACCCCGCGCCGGAACTCCTCTGGCCCATCGATGCCGAAGAGCTCTACAAGGTATGGGAGCCGGCAATAAGCCGTCAACAGGTTACCGCCGGCGCCCTCGCAGAGCAGCTCTTGACACGCGAAGTAGTGCTCAGAATACGCCGAGGAAGCTTGCTTGCACATCAGCTTGAACACTTTTTTTTGGCGGGAAAAGAAGAAGAAGAAGAAAGAAAGAAGAAGAAAAGAACAAAAAGAAGAACAAGAAGAAAAAAAAACAAAAACGATTTCTATACGAAGTTCGCTCCGCCAAATGTTCCGATAGTAATACTACAGCTACGGGTCTAAGAATTCGAGCGCCCAGAACCCCATAACCTACCACAGATTAAAAGAGGATACTGAGGCTGTCTAGCTCTCTATCTGCTTGAGTTAAGCATACGAAACCATTATCATCCGGAAAATGCATCCCGACAGCCGACTAGAATTGCACCTTAAAAGCGGCATCATCGACTGCAGGGAACAAACATCGGCGTTCTCAAAACAAGTTTTCGAATCCCCCCCCAAAAAAAAGTTGTCACACTGTCCGTCCTAGCGGGGTCGGCCAACTGGCTCCACTTCGCGCCGGAATTCTTCCAGCTCACCGATGCCGAAGCTCTACGAGCTACTAGCTCAGCCTGCGCTGGAAGTTCTCTAGCTCCTCGGTGTTGAAGGGCTCTGTGGCATTGCGAGGGGTGGGTGTTCGATCCTGGGTATGACGCCGACTCGAATACACAGTAACCGGAACTTCAGGTTCGGCCAGTATCTCCTGACTGAACAACTAAGCTGCCTCCTTGTTTCACCCAGGGTTCGGCCGAAAACTGGAAGCCGGCGGTAAACTGTCAACCAGGTTTTGTTGCGCCTTTGCTGGGACCATCATGACCACTGAGGCCAGGCCCAACGAAGTCTCAGGCGAAGCGAAGCCTCTTAGTTGTCAAGCAAGCAGTCAGCTCTTATTTCACAACAGCGAAGCTGTTGGAATAAAAGAGAATCAGAAGCATGCGAAGACAACAATAAAACGCAAAATGCACACTCAAATATCAATAATAAAAGATCCGACAGAACAGCGGAGATGTGGATATAGAAATAAGAGAAATGAGAAAATGAGGCCAGCCGGGTGTGACTTAAACAAGCGAATGACCAAAGAAGTTCTGCACAACCTGTGGGAGCACATCGCAGATGCGCTCCGCCGCTGATACCTCTGCATCTGTCACCGTGGCACATGGTGGGAGACACCAGGCTGCATCATAAACATCCTTGTAGGTGATGTCAGTCCGCGAGAAATATACACATGCTCCGCAGACCGATTTGTAACCACACACCACAGGCACTTCCGCGGCCGCACACACCCCCATCAAAGCCCGCTGTGCTAAGGCAAGGAGTAAAACACTGAGATTCGAAGTCACTGAGGTAGTAGAAATTGGCGTACACATGGCCCTGGCAGGCCTGATGAGTCAGTAGGTCAGGCCTGTGGTTCCATTCTCGAAAGGAGTGAGAGAAGAAGTCTGGGCCAGCCTCAGGAGGCCGCACCGAATACATACTCTGCAAACCGTCCAACACATGAATAAGAATATCCACGTCTTCGATAAATCTGAGAAAACACTTTCCATCTCCCGCACAGCCAGTTTATCACTCATAAGGGGGCCCCCTTGGATGTCCAGTGGTATCCCACCCGCTTCAAGATCCCGTTGTGTACATCGCATGGTATGTAAAGCTATACGTTTTTATCCCCCCATCAACCAAGTTTTTTTGCGGTTTGCGGTCTCGCTACCCAGGCCCTCATGGGGCAGCGAGCAAACTCCAATGAGCCAGGACAACGACCTTCAAGTACAAGGGACCTTCTTGAGGACCATGCATGTACAAAGCAAATGAGACCACATACGAACGACCTGCTTTGAGGCAACTGCACTGTCGATCAGAGCTACGAGTGACCTACCTTGAGGCACCAAGTACCAAGTCAGAATGCTTGAAGCTACCTTGATGAATGAAATAATTGTAAATGACTCAATGTTGAACGTCTCAATGTCTCAATAAGCGCAAAATTGCACGAATTGAATTGAAGGGCATAAAATATCTCAATGTTTCATCTCAATGATCTCTCCGAGACTGCCAAGAGGGCGCCACGCAAGAAGGGGCACACACAGCAAGGTGATTCGCGAAGACACACGAGAATCACACTGGAAACTGTCAGCATAAACCTCACGCAATGAATTATCAGTTATCAATGACTCAATGTTGACAACCCAATGTCTCAATAATCACAACATGCATGAATTGATCAATGTCGCAATAAGCAAAATTGCACGAATTGAGTTGGAAGGCCTGAAATATCTCAATGTTTCATCTCAATGATCTCTCCGAAACTGCCAAGAGGGCGCCACGCAAGAAGGGGCACACACAGCAAGGTGATTCGCGATGACACACGAGAATCACAGTAGAAACTGTCAGCATAGACCTCTCGCAATGAATTATCAATGACTTGATGATTAACGTCTCAATGTCTCAAAAAAAAAAAAAAAAAAAAAAAAAAAAAAACACAACACGCATAAATCGAGCAAAGTACAGACACACGATGTGCACGGTAAGCAGAATGTACAGCGTGCACAAATGAAGCGGAGTCCAGACGTGAGAGAACATCACAGACCATGATTCAAACTGACACCATATTACAGACGACCGCGGAGCCAGGCCAAACGCCTCCTCCGCGATCGGAAGAAACTTGAACTGAACTTGAATTGAATGTCTCATTGCATTGAGCTTGAATTGAACTTAAAACCAGCGTCTCATTGCATTGAACTCGAATTGAGCGTCTCACTGCCTTCAACGAAACCTGAACTTATCATTGTCACAATGTCGGACTGATCATTAGCAACCAGGTTACCGCCGGGAGCTTCGTAGGGCTCGTTGCTCGCGTGGCGCTGCTCGGAACACAAGAAGGAAGCCTTCTCGAGCACGAGGTTGAAAACTTGAAAATGCATGCTTTTCGGTTTCATCCAAAGTTGGTTCCGCGTGTTTTGATAATAATACTGCGGCTACGGACCTGAAAATTCGACGGGCAGACGCGGCATAACCAACCACAGGCAAGGAAAATATTGACTTCCGCAACGAAGAATGACTTCCACAATGTTCAACGAACCGACCCAAAGATCCCACGTGTCCGTCCGAACCGGGCGGGCCAATGGGAGCCGGACGTAAGCCGTCAACCAGGTTACTGCCGGGGCCCTCGTAGCGCTCTTAACACGCGAATCAGTGCTCAGATAACGAGGAGAGAATGTTCTCGAATGTCAGCTTGAAAACTTGTGGTGTGTATTTTCGGGTTTTACACAACGTCGGGCCCCTTTCGATAATCATATTGCTCAGACTACGACGAGAAAGCCGTCGAATTTCAGCTTAGAAAGCACGAAGGTATTTCCCCCAAGTGTTTCATAGTAGTACTAGAGCTAGAGACCTGAGAATTCGAGAGACCAGCGCGCCATAATCTACAATGCACAGAATACTGGGAGCCGGCGGTAAACCGTCAACCTTGGCTACCGCTGGGAACTCGTAGAGCTTCCCTGCCACATGCATGAATGGGATGCGGGCGCGGCAATTTTGCATTCTGCGCGCGCGAGAGAGTGCGGTTTTGAGGGAAGGACGTGGAGGCGAAGACTGGGAGCCGGCGGTAAACCGTCAACCAGGTTACCGCCAGGGCTCTAGTAGAGCTCTAAACACGCGAGTCAGAGCCCAGATAACAGGGAGAGAGCGTTTCGAATGTCAGCTTCAAAACTCGCAAAATGAATATTGTTGGATTTTATACGACGCTGGTTCCTCGTAGTCTCTCGATCGAAATACTGCACCTACAGCCCTGAGAATTGCACCACTGAACGCGCCATGATCGACTGCAGGGAATTAATATCTGGATTTCCAAAACGAATTTTCAAATCTCTCACAACTGGGAGCCGATTTTGCGGACTTTGCGATCGACTGTGCAGGCTTTCCGGCCTAGTCGGAAGCAGCGAAAGGCGGACGACAACCCGCGGCATGACAAGAGACGTATGCTCAACGTCAAAAGAAATATGAATTAATGAAATCAAATACAATCGACCTACTTTGAGGCAACCGTAGTGTCGATCTATGTGGGGCTACTGCCCTGCACACTCCTGAAACACGTAGCATGCATGAAAATGGGCGGCATACAGGGTCAGGCAAGACACCCACCACTCTTGGAGCGGAAGTGGGCAAAGCCCATTTCACTCCTGAGATACATGTCGTCGTTCCCCAAGCGGGCAGTGACACGAGGCGAAGGAATATTAAGAAGGAGAATGCAATAATATGCTTAATCGCCAACAACTCGACACAATACCTGTAAAGATTAGAGATATCAATGTCTCTGGCGAAGAAAAGTAACTCTCGGATCACTGAATGTCTGATGATGCACTCAAGTATCTTGAATCACCTGCATAACTGGATGTCTGATAACGCACTCAAGTATCTTGAATTCTGATCGATCCAACTCAAAGAAAGAATGAAACAGGCACGCCGATACAATCCAAAGAAGTAAAGAGACCTGTCTCTGAATCCGTCTGTCAGAATACAATACAAGCACACAACAACAGAGAGAGGCGGCGGCAGGCGGCTGTCGGTGGAGCTCTCCCCGAAGAGGACGTGCTCGCTATGGCGCGCTGGCGCCACGGAGCCCCGACGGCGCCCCGCAAACCTGACCTAGTCGACTGACTTGAGCCGGCACTTGAGCCGGGACCCTCGTAGAGCTCGAGCACGCAGATCAGCGCCCATATAACGAAAAGAGAGCGTTCTCGAATGTCAGCTGAAAAACTCGCAAAATGTATTCTTGGATTTTATACGCCGCTGGTTTCTGCTAGTCCGCCGACCCTTGGGGTTCATCGGCGCGCGAGATGTTCCCCCTCCCCAAACCCCTTCCCCCGGGGCCCGGTCCGGCCGATTTAGAAGGGGGGGGGTCTCCCCGGATGGCCCCGGGGCGGCCCCCCTGGGGTCATCCGCCCAGAAAAGCATGCAAAATCTTGCGGAAATCGTGCAGAGGTGGCCTCGACATGGTTCTGGATCCCCAACGAGCGGTCCACGACGCGCACGGCAGCCCAAAGACGGACCACGAGGCGTCCCGGATGGCAGAAGAGGGCCCCACGAGCCCCCCCGAGGGCCTCCGAGATATGTGTCCAGAGGGTTCCGAGACGGAAAATTGGCCCATTCCCTTCGTGAAACGGACATTTATCACAAGTTCGACTTTGGTCTTTCCGATGCATCCGACGGGCCACGAGGCCCCCAAACCCACTCCCAGACGATCCCAGAAGCCTCCCAGAGGGTCTCCCACATACCCCTGGAGGGCCCCAAGACGGGCTGGAGGGCGTCCAAGACGGCCCAGCAGGGCTCCGAAAACAGCTTCAAGAGCGCCCCAGGAGCGTTCCGAGAGGCCCCCAAGCTCCACATGGGCTCCAAGTGGCCCCAGAACGGGCTCGGAGGAGTCCTCGACGGCAGAGAGGTCCCCACGGGCCCCCCCCACAGCCTCCGACATGCGTTCCAAGAGGGTTCGGAGACGCAAAAATTGGCCCATTCCCTTCGTGAAACGGAAATTGTCCACAACTTCGGCCCTGGGCCTGTCCGATGCCTCCGACGGCCCAAGAGGCCCCCAAAGACACTCCCAGACGGTCCCAGAAGCCTCCCTGACGGTCTCCCACATACCCCTGGAGGGCCCCAAGACGGGCTGGATGGCGCCCAAGACGGCCCAAGAGGGCTCCCAAAACGGCCCCATGAGCGCTCCAAGAGCGCTCCGAGAGGCCCCCAAGCTCCACATGGGCTCCAAGTGGCCCCCAAACGGGCTCGGAGGCGTCCTCGACGGCAGAAGAGGTCCCCACGGGCCCCCCCCCACAGCCTCCGACATGCGTTCCAAGAGGGTTCCGAGACGCAAAAATTGGCCCATTCACCCGAGACCAAATTACAAATGAGTAAGCTACCTCCAATCAGTTCACACCCAAGCCCGTCACCACAGATATCCCAAACAGTCGCCCGCTCTGAGAGGATAGCTAATCTCCTACCCATTGTCTCAGCCTCCTTTGCGGAAGCCAAACTCCAAGACTTATCGAACATAATCTCCACCTCCTCCTTGGGTTCCCTTCCTCCTCCCTCAGCTCCTCGGGGCAAGATACAATTCTCGAACGCAGAACCGAGTCGACAGTGAGCGAGCTAATCACGCGCACATTTCACACACGACGAAAAAGCAAAGTCACAGACTCTCCACCAATCGTCCACATCTCGAGTGTCATTATACATAACATCAAACATGTGAAACCAAGGACGCTCACCCGTCGAGACACCGCCACCACTCGTACGCCGGCGTGAAAGTATGCTGGGCTCTCTGCGCTTCCCCCACTGCCACAATGTCTTAGCTGCTCTGGATCGCGCCTGAGCAAGATCAAACGTGTAGCACATCAACAATCTCCTTGCATCACACAGAGCACGTGGGGCACAATGTTGAATGCCTTCACCTCGCACTGCATGTGGACCCAGCCGTCGACGCTTCGGGGCAGAAGCCCCCGCCTCCCCCGTGTCGACTTGCTCGACAAAGGCATACTCACCCGTCCGCACAGCGAAGTACCCAGCAACATCCTGACCCAATCGCCATGTGGAGTGCAAAGCTCGTTGCACCGCCGGCTGGAGACGCTGCTTCTGGAACTGCTCGCGACACCATCTGAGCCGAGCCGGCTTCCAGATATGCCACTGCGCCTCTGCTGGCTTGCGAGACGCAGCCATGTGGCACAGGCAGCGCCCTTCGAATACGTGAATCCGCCCCAGGCTGTCGGAGTCCCAGGTGAAGCCCTCACTACCGCACAACAGCACCGATTGGACCAGAGCAACATACTTCCGACACTTCGCTGCCCACAATACTGCAGAAGAACGAAAATAAGCAACATGTTTGTAAAAGGCACGGTGGGCAGCCTCAATTCTGCGCGAGACATCCCCATGTGGCCCCCTGTACTCTGCATACACATCATCGCCAAGAACATTCATACAAGTAACTCGTTCAAGAGGAACCTGGTTTCCTTCAACGTCAACAGTGAAGGTCGGGATGTCACCAGCGAAACCGATAACGAGGACCGCCAGAGAATCAATCTTCCATTCAAAGCCCCACAGTCGTAGAACTGAAGTAAGTGTTGTCAATTGCTTCTGAAATATCGCAAGATCTGAGCCCAACACGAACACGCTATCAGCATCTATCAGATGATTAACAGGCAAAGATGGGGGGGGGCCAATCTCTCGAGGTTCCTCCTGGGGTGCTTCTCCAACTCCACCTCCTCCTCCACTTCTATTTCGATTATGATAATTGAGATCCCAGCAAGGATAGCCCATATTGAATGCATCCCACTCCCTAAAGACATCGGCCCACATGGCACACACGATAAGATTCCAAAGATCAGGCGATTCATTCCCCCCTGTGCGAACATGTCGATCGACGCGGTCATTGCATACCGAGACGCCCTCGAACAAGAGTGTGGTGACCTCGCCTATCAAGGGGGCCAGGATGCCGTGCTGCAGCCAAACAGGGACCTCAAGTTTAGTGAGTGCACGATATACTGCAGAGACCGTAGTATGCTGGAACGCCTGCTTCACACCCGCCGAGGCGATGAGCACTGCCCGATCCTTCCCCCACTGCGAGGCATGCTGGGCCACTGTTTTGAGTCCCGCGGTAACCTCGGAACAAGTGCGACCTGGGCAGAAACCGAACAAAGCAACCTGGGCCCGCGCACGGCCCAAAAAAGGTTCCAAGCCAGACAATACTGCGGTAGAATACCATTTCTTACTCACGGACTCGACGGCTGGTCTTCTAGTATTATCAACCGTACACCCCGACAGACTCTTTGGCATCAATGAAGTGAGAGTGGAAAGCCAGCTACCAGGAGGGGGCCGCATACCAACAATGATCTCATTGAAGAAACGCAGCACAACACGAAGAGAGCGCCGCGGAAGTTGGCGCAGAACTGCTGCACTTAGCCCGTCAGGGCCCGTTGCCTTACCAACCTTAAGCTTAGCACGTGCCTGGAGCAACTGAGACATCTGAAGGTGGGCCTCAGGAGGGACTGGGGATTCCCGAACTCGGCGCCGTTTGTCAGCCACGATCTGTTCAGAAAGCGCACGTGCAACCTCATCCGCACAGTTCTTCCCCACCTTGTCCCTGGCCTCCAGCTCCCAACTCCTCCTGTTCACCACCCTTTCTCCATTAATAAGTACATGAGTGAGCGGCCGTCGTCTGTTTCTTGCACGTTGTGATTCCCATTCGAGTTTTGCCCGCCTCAAACGTCTCTGCAAACGATCACGCTGACGACGCACCTCACGATAAGTCTCCGTGCCCTTCTCACCACGACGATCGCACAACTCACGACTGAGAGCCAGCAGACGATCAGGCGTCCTAGGCGGCGAGACTCGAGTAACATGAGCACAATTGGCACTGGATGCATTCGAATATATCACGGTCTCGAGCTGCTCAATAGTGCGACACATGGGCAAGGTGGCGTCGAACAATTCTCGTGTGCTCTGAGCTTCGTGCCAGCCCTCAGGCTGCCAGTGCTTCAAAGAACGGGCCATCCGAGAAAGGTGACGGCGAGGGGGCACATGCTGGGGGATGGCTACTTCCACTCGCAGCAGGGCATGATCAAACAAACGTGCTCGTGCATCACGCGCGCTGCCCTGGCACAGTGTGTCCACCTGCGCCTCGTCCCTCACCACCACGCTCTGGGAAACGAAGACATAGTCCAGAACCGACGGACGTGAGTGCCGCTGATATCCGTTCCAGGTCGGCACCCGTGCTCCAAGAGCATTGCTAGCCCTCAGGCACTGTCCCACCACCCATCCCTCAACCATCTCCCTCAACTTCTGCCCCTCCTCCCTCCGCCCCTTCTCTCTGGTTCCCTCCAAACGTGTGCTGGGTACGTGGAATCCTCCTCCTGTATGTCCCTCCTTCCATGGTTGCAATTCAACATTCACATCAGCAGCAACAACAAAATGTGTGATACCATATTCTCGGCATGCACGCGCACGCAGCTGTGCAACATCATCCAGCACTAGATATGATGTATCCTCCCGGCCTGGCACTTGGGAGTGTGGCAGATACATACTAACGAAGAGTAGTCCCTCGAACAGAACAACACACCAACGCGTGCCACCCCATTGCTCACGAACGGCATCCGCTCTGCGATAGAGAATGGCAGCCTTCCGGTCCGAACTAGAGTAATGATGCAAGCCCATATTGCGGAACCAGGCGCCTTCGAAATCAATATGTTCAGCTTCCTGCAACCCCAAGAAGTCCCAGCGGTATTGGCCCCGTCCAATGGCACTGAGAAGAACATAACTACGGTCGTTCGTCTGGCCCGCCTTCTGGACATTGAGGGAGGCGAGGACGATCTGAGTCGGGCTCGCCTCGGGCGGACGTCAGATTCTCCGAGAGGCCACGGCGGCCTCGATCTGCTCAGGAGTATGCTGAAACTCATGTCGCTGCGCAATCTCTGGCCAAGCATCCATAAGGATCTGCCACTGACCACTACCACCATATTCTGAAGCAATGAACTCCGCGAACTGCATCCGACGACCTTCGACAGGGGACGTCCACATGTATGAAAGAGTCTCGCCTGCGCCAGACGTGCCAATCACAAAGACGCTCGGAACAAGCTTGGACCACTCCCCGTAGAAGCGACCAACTGCCTGGTTGTGGAGGATTTTCCAAGGAGGAGCCTCAACACGGAACCGAATCCGAGCAAGTGTAGCTACCATACGTTGGAACAACGTCGGCCTCTGAGCTGGGTCATCGTTACCTTTCGTCAAAATCGCCAGAGCCTGGAAAAGAACGCCCTCCTCGGTACCTTTCCTGAATCGGATGCGGACGTTGCCTGACATGGGTTTACTCCTGGCTGCACGTTTGGACCCCTCGGTATCGATACAAGCGGAGACCAACTCGTCAGCAGCATGGATGATGTCAATCACATTCCTCAAAAGCGCCTCAGCCTGATCATCTGCTATCATGGCACGCGATCTCGTCAGAGCACTCGACCAATATTGCACCCAACCGTAGCATTCAACAAAGGTGGGGACGAACGGTTGTTGAGGCATCTGGGGTCCGAGAGTCGTCGACGCCGAACTTCCGACCGAGCCTGTCCCCTCCAAGACCGCGATCCTAGCTTCGAACGTTTCCTGACGCTTGGCAATATTCTGGATCCGCTTACCCTGGAAATCGACGGTCTCCCCAAGGGAGGTGACACGAGCGTCTGTGGCAGCACGTGCGGCAGCACTGATGTCCTGGGCCTTGAAACTCCATGCCATGAAACCACGCATACCAGGATCAGCCTGAGACAATATATCCTGCCTCTCCTTCTCCTCCTCATCCTTCTTCATTCTCTTCGGATCCTGACCTTATTCACCCATCTTCGACGAAAGAGTCTGATGAATCGTCCTCCTCGCAACTCACAGGCACACCAGGAGCGCCGCGTAAAGGAACGGCATGGAAGTGCACGGCGGAACGGACAACACTTACAGCAAAAGAAATATTCCCAATAGGAATCCTCCAGCTCTGTGAAGAAACGGTCCCAGCCACGAGTCGGCACTTCGAAGTATGTCGCGGTATCAATCACGCACACAGTGGACAAACTGTCAAAGACCACGCCCAACGTGAACAAGAACAAAATTGGAACAGGCGCAAGCAAGTGCAAAGACAGCGGCCTTATGCAGTGCCCGACCCACTTCTGACACAGCAGAGCTGACCTGCCAGCACCTTGGAGAGCAAGCCGTAGATGAGGAAGTCCACGAAGAAATGGCACGGCCCCCCGTGCACGCGAGCGGCCGCCCCGCGGGCCCCACCGCACAATGCGGCTCGAGCCGCACGAGGAGGCCCCACGAGCCCCAGCGGCAACCAAGTCAACCTTGGTTACCGCCGGGAACTCGTAGAGCTTCCCCGCGCAATGCGGGAGCGGCAATCTCGCATTGCGCGCGCGAGGGCGCGGTCTCACGAAGGAGGACGTGGAGAAGAAGAAGGAGCGAGGGAAAAGCATCTCTGGAAGAAGATTTTTTAACCAACAAAAACTCAGGCGTCTGGACGCTGTAAACTAGCGCGCCTGTCGATGTCCTTCCGAGAAAGAAAATCACCACCATCTCTACAGAAAAATTGCAGAATGCGAATACTTGTTCGGCGGTCCCAGCGCTGATAGCAGACCGAGTTCAGGCGTCTAGATACTTTAAACTAGCGCGCCTGATTGTTTCCGTTCGATTGCTGTGCCGAACAGCTCTGTAGCTCATTTGCAGCTCATGAAAACCAATACCACCCCCAAAGAATTCGCACGCTGATAGCAGACCGAGATTAGGTGTCTAGATACTTTTAACTACCGCCCCTGATGATTCCCTCCCGATTGCTGTGCTGAGGAGCTCTGTAGCTCATCTGCAGCGCGAGTTAAGCCAAGAAAATCATCACCATCTCCAAGAAATTAGCAGAGTACGAATAGTTGTTCAGCCCGAGCGCTGATAGCAGACTGGTTTCAGGCGTCTAGATACTTTGACCTAGCGCGCCTGATGATTTCCTTCCGATTGCTGCGCCGAAGAGCTCTGTAGCTCATCTGCAGTTCGAGTTAAGTCAAGAAAACAAATTCCAACTCCAAAAAAAATAGCATAGTGCAGATAGTTGTTCGGCTTCTGCGCTGATAGCAGACCGAATTCAGGCGTCTAGATACTTCAGATTATCGTGCCTGATGATTTCCTTATGATTGCTGTGCCAAAGAGCTCTCTAGCTCATCTGCAGCTCGAGTTAAGGAAGAAACTCGTCATCATCTCAAAAAAAAACGATGGAGTACAAATAGTTGCGCGGACCTAGCTCTGGTAGCAGACCGAGTTCAGACCTCTAGATGCTTTAGACGAACGCGCCTGATGATTCTGGATCGATTAGGTGTGCATACCTGCTTTGTAGCGCTCCTACAGCTCGAGTTAAGTACAGAAAACCGACAGCATCTCCCAAGATGACCCGAACAGCCGATCCCGCCTGGATGCTTTTTGGCAGTGATAGGTACCCGATCGAGCTGAGATTAAGATGGCGAGCGGGAATAAGATCGAATATGGGTGGAAAAATACTAGAGCTCAAACGAATTGTTGAATTTCGAGAAATCGAATTCAAACCGAGGAAAAGTACCCAAAACTTCCGTCGAGTTTTTTTTGCCAACTAGCCCCCCGGCGCGCCGGAACTACTCTTGAAGCTTCGCCGCTAACGCTCTAAGGGAAGCTCCACGAGTCAAATTAGCAGAGTACGAACAGCTGCTTGGTCCCAGCGCTGATAGCACACCGAGTTCAGGCGTCTAGATACTTTAAACTAGCGCGCCTGATTGTTCCCGTTCGATTGCTGCACCGAACAGCTCTGCAGCTCATTTGCAGCTCATGGAAAGCAATACGATCTCTAAAGAATTAGCAAAGTACGAATAGTTGTTCGACCACAGCGCTGATATCAGACCGAGATCAGGCGTCTAGACACTTTTAACTAGCGCCCCTGATGATTCCCTTCCGATTGCTGTGCTGAGGAGCTCTGTAGCTTCTCTGCAGCGCGAGTTAAATCAAGAAAAGCATCACCATCTCCAAGAAATTAGCAGAGTACGAATAGTTGTTCAGCCCGAGCGCTGATAGCAGACTAAGTTCAGGCGTCTAGATACTTTGACCTAGCACCTAGCGCGCCTGACTATTTCCTTCCGATTGTTGTGCCGAAGAGCTCTGTAGCTCATCTGCAGCTCGAGTTAAGTCAAGAAAACCAATTCCATCTCAAAAAAATACCAGAGAACGAATAGTTGTTCGGCCTCTGCGCTGATAGAAGACCGAATTCAGGCGTCTAGATACTTCAGACTATCGCGCCTGATGATGTTATTATGATTGCTGTGCCAAAGAGCTCTCTAGCTAATCTGCAGCTCGAGTCAAGTGAAGAAAATCATCATCATCTCAAAAAAAACGATGAAGTACAGATAGCTGCGCGGACCTAGCTCTGGTAGCAGACCGAGTTCAGACCTCTAGATGCTTTAGACGAACGCGCCTGATAGTTCTGGATCGATTAGGTGTGCATACCTGCTTTGTAGCGCTCCTACAGCTCGAGCTCAGTACAGAAACCCGACAGCATCGCTCAAGATGACCCGAACAGCCGATCCCGCCTGGATGCTTTTTGGCAGTGATAGGTACCCGATCGAGCTGAGATTGAGATGGGTAACGTGAAAAGTACTAGAGCTCAAACGAATGGTTGAATTTCGAGAAATCGAATTGAAACCGAGCAAAAGTACCAAAAACTTCCGTCGATATTTTTTTGCCAACTGGCACTGGCGGTGAACCGTCAACCTGGTCACTGCCGGGAACCTCGTAGAGCTCCTTGCACGCGTAAGAGTGCTCAGAATCGAGAGAGAGGAGCTTCTGGAAGCATTTCTCGAAAAAGTGAAAAATTGATTTTGTTCATGTCGACATAAAGTTGGTTGATCCAAGTGTTTTGATAGTAAAAGTGCGCCTACAGAGCTCATGTTAAGACTGGCGCCGGCGGTGAACCGTCAACCTGGCCTGCGTATTCTGCGTTGGCCGATTCGAGCTCCCTGGAGAGCAGGCCAGGGCACAGAGAACCTAAACAGCGAAGCTGTACAGGAAAACAGCGAAGCTGCAAAGATTAAAGAAGAGGTGCATCAAACAGCGAAGCTGCACAGATATGCACAAGACCGCCAGTACACGAGAAAACAACCAACAATATAATGAGGGAAGCAATGCAGACCATAGATATGGAAGCAAAGCTAGAAGCAGTGAGAGACCACACAGTAACCACTGGCTTATACAGCGATTACCGTCTCAACACCACTGAGAAAAATGGTGATACACAAATCCTTCGAGTATTTGTTTTGCGGTTTGCGGTCCGGTTGGTGCAGCCACACCCTGTGGGTTGGATGCACCCTGAAAAACGTGATACTCTTGGGGTATCTTGCAAGCAGAGCGGCATCTAGAAGCGGCCTCAAGCTCACACAGCGCAACCGTCGCAACGGGAAGCAGGCCAAAAGCCACCTCCGCCAAAGGACGGGTAAACGCGCGCATGCTCTCACCAACCCCTTCACCAGATTGCTCACTAGTGAACTCATAACGCCACCGTCGTACGCACCACGGATTGCGATCAATGTTTCGGTATTGTTTATCGGTTGTTGAATGCTGCTGTACCTCGATTGTAATGGTAGATGTCTGATTTCCCAAGTAAGTCGGTCGGCACGCTCATTGCCTTCACGAAAGTGATGACGCCACAGATCATACGCCAGCGAGTACCGTCTCAACACCACTGAGAAATGGTGATACGCAAATCCTTCGAGTAATTGTAGGCAGAAGAGAAGAAACGAGCCAAAGGGGCAGAAACAGCGGGGGAGAGAGAGGGGGCAGACCAAAACAAGCGTGCATGATCAATCACATGTGCATCATCTGTGCCGTTTCCGATGCTTCTTGCCGCTCCGCGTCAATGCACTTCTGGAAGTAGAACTCTGAGGACGCCCCTGTCGCGAATCATCTTCCTCGGAACTTTCAATTCCCATTTGCAGCCTGTATGCATTAAGAGCCTCAATCCTAATTTGAAGCTCCTGTCTCGGGAGCCGGTGTAGCTCACGCCAAAGAGCACTTACATCGACACAGACAAGGGCCCAGTCCCTGGCAGCTTGACACTCAGAGCGTGTCAAACTCGGTCGATCTGCAGAACTCCCATTCATGGAACTCCCTACTGCATCAGCTGAACTCCAAACAGCGGTACTCCCAACTGCAGAACTCCCAGCTGTTGAACTCCCAACTGCATCAACAACTGCATCAGCGGAACTCCGAACTGTGGAACTTCCTACTGCACTCCGACCTGTTGAACTCCCGACTGCACTGGAACTCCCGACTGCATCAACTGAACTCCAAACTGCGGTACTCTCCACCGAACTCCCGTTGGTCGCATGCAATTCTGAAGTGCGCAACTTTGAACTCTCGATAGCCCCCACTCGTTTGAAACAATATCTATTCATTCTGAGAGAGGCATCACCCCGATCAACGTGCACTCGATGACACTCCTCCTTCTCCTCCTCACCAACAAAGAGAACACAACGATCAGTCTGAGTCCCACACGCAATGTGAACACAGGGATCTGTCTGAGTCCCACAATCGGAACACTGCGAACACAAAGAGTTGCCAGCCAATTCAACAGCATCCATATCAGTCTGTGTTCCACAAGTGTGCTCAACCCATTCCTCTTCCTCAGAATCGTCCGAGCAGAAATTCCGATAATATCTGGGCGCGCAAATACCCGCGCGAACAAGGCACGACGAATCTGGCCCCCGAGCCGTGGACCACAAACGATACCTGATACGTTTCGCCCGCAGGCGGCGCAATTTCGATTGAGAAACTTTGACACCATGCCCATACAGCTGGTCTCGCTCATGCAGGCGAGACTCACCTCCGTACGAAGGGCGAACACGGCAATATAGATCACTAACACACACTTCGAGCGTAGACAAACGAGCAGCGAGAAACTCGGAAGTAAACAACGCCGCATCTGTCGAATCTGAAGCAACAAAATCCGTGCCTGACAATTCAGAGGAAACAAACTCCATATATGAAACGTGGATTCGCTCAACAAGAAGAAGGCAAATCACAGGCAATAACAAGATGGCCAAATGAGTACGATACTTGTAGAGCTCTTGTCTCGCGGCAATCAATGAGTGTGTACTCCGACAAACAATGACTGTGTACTCCAACCGTCAATGAAGTGTGTACCCGCGGGAATCGAAATCTGGCGGGGCAAAATCTCCTGTCCGCAAATGTGTACTCTGACAATCAATGACTATATGCTCCGACAATCAATGAATCTGCCCTCCGACAATCAATGAGAACGTAAAAACAATGACTGTGTACTCCAACCGTCAATGAAGTGTGTACCCGCGGGAATCGAAATCTGGCGGGGCAAAATCTCCTGTCCGCAAGTGTGCACTCTGACAATCAATGACTATATGCTCCGACAATCAATGAATCTGCCCTCCGACAACCAATGAGCTCGTACGATACACAGGCCGTGTACAGCAAAGAGAACCAAACAAAGCAGCACGGCACAATGCCGTTCGAGGCGATGAGTCCCAAACGGGAGCCCCCAGCCGCCAGACCCCTGAGGAGGGAGGCAACCAGATTACCGCCGGGACCTTCATAGAGCTCTTGAGCCAAAATGGAGGCAGAATGAATTATGACGGAATTCGGCGCTGGCCACAGTTCCGGCGCGACGAATCCATTGAAAACACACTATAAACGTGCGAAAATGCCTTGTGCAATTTTCGTGCCAAAATAAGCATTAATCTGCACACGTCCCTTGGGCAGAAAACAATGTGATTTACGGGGTGCGATGCGCAAAACGCGATGCACGCCCGCGGCACTCCGTCATAATTGTAAGAGAAGAAACGTGCCAAATCCTCCTATGAGACCTGTCAGCGGAGAGCGGAAGGAAAGCCAGCGGGAGAGCGGGGGAAGCCCAAAGAGCCAAAGCGAGCCCAGGGGCAGAAACAGCGGGGGAGAGAGAGGGGGGGGACAGACCAAAACAAGCGTGCATGATCAATCACATGTGCATCATCTGTGCCGTTTCCGATGCTTCTTGCCGCTCCGCGTCAATGCACTCCTGGAAGTAGAACTCTGAGGACGCCCCTGTTGCGAATCATCCTCCTCGGAACATTCAAGTCCCATTTGAAGTTTGTATGCATTAACAGCCTCAAGCCTACGCTGAAACTCCCGTCTCGGGAGCCGTTGCAGCTCACGCCAAAGAGCACTTACATCGACACCGGCAAGGGCCCAGTCCCTGGCAGCTTGACACTCAGAGCGTGTCTCACTCGGTCGATCTGCAGAACTCCCATTCATGGAACTCCCTACTGCATCAGCTGAACTCCAAACGGCGGTACCCCCGACGTCGGCCGACTGCAGAACTCCCAGCTGTTGAACTCCCAACTGCATCAACAACTGCATCAGCGGAACTCCGAACTGTGGAACTTCCTACTGCACTCCGACCTGTTGAACTCCCGACTGCACTGGAACTCCCAACTGCATCAGCTGAACTCCAAACTGCGGTACTCTCCGCACTCCCGTTGGTCGCATGCAATTCTGAAGTGCGCAACTTTGAACTCTCGATAGCCTCCACTCGCTTGAAACAATATCTATTCATTCTGAGAGAAGCATCACCCCGAACGTGCACTCGATGACACTCCTCCTTCTCCTCCTCACCAAAAAAAAGAACACAAAGATCAGTCTGAGTCCCACACGCAATGTGAACACAGGGATCTGTCTGAGTCCCACAATCGGAACAATGCGAGCACAAAGAGTTGCCAGCCAATTCAACAGCATCCATATCAGTCTGTGTTCCACAAGTTGCTTTTCTACACAGCGTAGCTGCCTGATAATAGTCAGCAGAAGCACGATCGGCTGCGGATCAAACCCATTCCTCTTCCTCAGAATCGTCCGAGCAGAAATTCCGATAATATCTGGGCGCGCAAATACCCGCGCGAACAAGGCACGACAAATCTGGCCCCCGAGCCGTGGACCACAAACGATACCTGATACGTTTCGCCCGCAGGCGGCGCAACTTCGATTGAGAAACTTTGACAACATGCCCATACAGCTGGTCTCGCTCACGCAGGCGAGACTCACCCACCTCGGCAGCGGCCACCGCGGGCGGCGCCTGGACCTCGTAGCCCTCCGAGTCCGCCGCCCAGCTCGGGAGCTGGGCTGGGGCCGGGAGCCGCCGTTGGTCCGCCCTGGCCAGCGCGAGGAGCAGCATGAGCGGCAGCGGGGCGCTGGCGGGCGCGGGCGGCTGGGCGGCGCCGCCGGTCCAGGGCCACGCGCCGGCCATTGCGAAGGGGAGCCGGGGGGGACCTCGCTGGGCGACGCCCTCTACCCCAACATGCAGGGCTGGGGCCCTTGAGCCCTCGAGCCAACATGGTCTGCGGTGTCTGCGTTGGCCGATTCGAGCTCCCAAGGGAGCAGGCCAGGACACAGAGAATACTAACAGCGAAGCTGTACAGAGGCAGCAAAGCTGAAAGATAAAAGCGGCAAGATTATGCAGCGAAGCTGTAAAAGACGTGTGCGATCTACAAATGTGTGTGCACAAATCCACAACTCCCGACAATAAACTCTCAGATGCAGCAAGCTCCGCCTGGGTGACAGCACAGTGGGAGGGGAGCAAAAAAGCACGCTTGGCGACTCCGAGCAGCCAACGCTTGGGAGGAAGGCCAGGGGGGAGGGAAGCAAGAGGCAAAGTAGCAGAGATAAAGATATCAATCACCCAACCGCACGATGTGCCTAGCTCACATTTGCCACCATCAAAAGAGCCTCTCACCGCGTGTACACTAAATTGACCCGAACGAATAGAAGAAAGTATCGAGATCCCACCGCACATCTGATGTAGTCTGCCCTTCTCTGGCCACATGTGTCTCGTGGTCCGCCTCTGCGTTCCCCTCCCGATAGACCCATTTCCAGATATCACGGCCCGCCTCAGGACTGTAGATCTGGAACTGCCTACACACGGAATACAAAGTATTTTGCATGGCAGCTATTGTTTGGCTGTAAATTTCATTCAAGCATCTGTTTTTGCCCGTCAGCCAACGTATTACACACTGGCTATCCCCCCTCATTTCTAAGGCCAGAGATCCAGGGTTGATCCTCCAGTTAGTCTCATCCTGATACAGCACAGCAATCCTTTTGGCAGCACGATCGTTTCCACGTTGTTGTTGAGCCTCCGTTTTGTTCTCCTCCTCCTCCTTCCAGTGGGTGCCTGAAATAGCATCTTTTATCAAGCAGAATTCCAATATCTTAGGTAACTTTAGCTGCTGTAGCGTGTCCACTAAGAAGGTCTTCCAACCTAACTCCGTCCAGCACATACTCTGATCCCACTGGGGCCCCTGCGCGACCTCGAACACAGTGAACCAGGGCTGGAGACTCTGCATAACTCGATGCGGTCGCCGACGCGAGAGAGCACGACCACGGACACCAGAAGCACGTACCATGATGTCACGATGCGCGGTGTACTCCCCAGACGCATGCAACATACACAGGGCACTCTGCATGGATGGGGTGGCCCACTTGTGTGCCAAAGTCTGGCGTGCTCGCTTACGAGGTGGCTCCGAAACAGGCTGCGACGAAGTCTGGGACGGATCTTCCCGACGCTGGCGAACGTTACGATACATACCAGAGATCAGCTTCCGACGATTATGCCCAGGTGCAGGGGTAGGAGGAACAGGCGAATCACATAGTACATGAGGCAACTCAGGTTCACGAGATAAGATCCCCTGGCTGAGATCATCGCGATCGGGCTGAGCAAGATTACCAAAAGCCGTGCAAACAACATGCTTTGCAAACAACCACTGCCGGCACAAGGTAAGCTGCACAAGTGAAGGACGAGAGGAATTGAGCATCAACATGCGTGCATGCCTGATCCGAGAACTCCAATAGTCTCCCCACGTCTCGGTCATCCTTTTACGTCGGCGACACATCGCCGAGAGAAACTTCCCCTCCTCCTGGTGAATCATCGTCAGACTGTTCGCGTGACATGTGGTACCCTCGATACCGTAAAGGAAGCAGGAGCGAACCCGAGCGTCGTATCGTGCAAACTTTCGGCTCATGGGGATGACAGCACTCGTATAGAAGCCGGCATCATTCCAAAAACGCTGTCGTGCCCTCTTCTGTCGATGAGATATGTCAGCATGATCAGAGAACTCAATATCCAACAATGTGCCCAACACCATCGTCTGAGTAACCTGCGGGATAGTATACGAAATAGGCTCAGAGAAGTGTATATGCTCCTGTGGCCTGCCGACCTCGTCCTTGGGATTGTGAGCTTTCTCCTCATCGCCTAGAGACACAGTGATATGAAGTGGACTGGGAGGTCCAGGACAGCCACAGGCAAGATATTCTAAGGAGCTCTCCTTCCACCTGAAACCGTGTCGGTGAATTGCAATGGTCAGATCAGTGAGCATGGCCAACATATCTGTCCGACAGGATGCAACCAAGATAATGTTGTCGGCCCAGAGCCAGTGATTGACCAGTAATCCAGATGCTTCAGGAGAAAGCTGCACCCCATAGCTACGGTCGCGCCACCGTGTAACAATGGGCGCCAATATGCACAAGGATTTCGCCACCCATAGTGCAGGAGCCTCCATGGAGCCCGTACGTATACAGGCGTCCCAACTGATGCCCTCAACAGTACACTGCTGAAAGAAAGGTCTGCAACAATGTGCGCATACCCTTCAAAGATAGCGTGTACCAGAAAGGGATCCACATTCAATTCAAGTAGGGACTCGACAGCCGACCGAACCGTGAAATAATCAAAAGCTTGCTTGATGCCGCAATTGACGATGTGGCAATCATCCTCCTTCCAAAGAACAGCATGCCGTGCAAGATGCTTCAAAGGTGCGGTAACCTCATAACACTTATGGCCCACAACAAAACCATACAGTTGACAACCCTTCGGCGCAACCGTCTTGATGTGGGATTCTAGAAGAATAGTGAGACAACAACTGAACCATTTCCCAAAGACCGACAGCATAGCCAGAGCACGGGTCTCATCGAAACTACGCGCCCTCGGCCCTTCAACATAAAACTGACAAGGATACGCCTCCATGCATGTGTTGAAACAATCTGCCTCTCATACAACCTCTGGAAACAGACAAGGACGTGGCGAAGAGCTTCCCACGGCAAGGCCTTGAGCACGGAAGCTGAGATGCCATCCAGACCTGTGGCCTTTCCGTCCCTCAAGCGTGCTCTAGCTCGCAGAAGAAGTCCCATATCGATCGGACAAGCCCCAATAGTACTCCGAGAGACCCCAACGCTGTCACATCTATGACGAAGTTCCTCAAGACAGGTATTAGCGTCATGTCGATGGGCCTCGCTCGAGTAAGGATGTAGACCATGTTGCCTAAGAGCCTCCTCCCACTTACTAACGTCCTGTGTCAGTACCCCCTCAATCATCATTTGTGTGGCTTTCGGCTTCCGTCGTACCCCCTCCCATGATCGATACAACAGCCGGGTACGCTCAATGTCACGACGAACCCTCCTCCACTGTTTCAGGCTGCTTTTATTTACCTCCTTCTCCACCTCCTCCCTCTTGTACTCCCGCCTAATCCTGTAGTGCTCCTCCTTAATCCTCAGCTGGTCCTCTGAGAGCTTCGGGAACCCAGATTGTCCACCAGAGTTGCGGGAAAGGTCCAAGGTCTCGTGGGCACCCTCAAAAACGGCCTTAGTGATGAGCTCAATGGGGTTAGCCTCAAGATCCTCGGAAAGCGCCGCGAAGCAGTTGAACTGGCACACGGAGCGCTCCAAGAAAGCCATTTGGTGGACCTCCGAGCCCGCCTGCAGCTTCCACCGAGCAAGTGAGGGACGGATACGAGGACGCAATTGAGCCTGATGATCTGGAAGTCGGAGCTGCAGCAACTTATGATCACTAAATGTCATATCACGTGCACGTGTATGCACAGCATCAGATGGTAAGACCCATGAACAGGAAACCTCTGGAATCTGCCAGTCCGTCGGGATAGCGAAGTAGTCATACACATGCTCGTATTTACGTGTGCAATGCTTCCAAGTAGGTGCGCGCGTGCCGTAGGTGCTCGCAAGACGAAGCTTCAGGGGCACCCATGGTTTTCAAGAGGGCCTGACAATACATCTCACGCATCTGATCACGCATAATGTCCGCGCTCCCCTCCTTGGCCCTACCCCTAGACTTGGTCTTAGGTCCCTCCACCGCCTCCCCCGTCACGAGTATCCTATCAACAGACTGATTGGGATACACGTCCACGTTGGCATCGACCTGCAGAACAAGATCACAAATGGAATCCTTCTTTTTTGCAGCAAGAACTTTGGATGTCAGATCTGACAGCACACTGGTGTACTTGGCGAAGCTAGCATAGTGGCCTTCTGCTGATCCCCGAGGCTCACCGTTATCACCAAATTCACTCTCACGATGAGGAAGATAAGCGGATACGAAGATAAGATGACGAAATACAACAGCAACCCAACGATCACCAGAGATGCTGTCTAGAATGAGGTGCTCCCAGGAACCACGATACAAGACTGCAGCCCGCCTGCACTCTGAGTACCTAGAGTCCCACCCCACGTCCTCAACCCCAACATCATTCAAATGCTGGCATTCCTGAAGAGCAACAATAGAGAGATCACGATGAATAAGATATCGCATGCACTCGGAGGTGTGTGTCCCCAACCTCCGTGTATTCCAACCTCCGCACAGGGCTGGGCACCGTCCTTGAGTACTGTTAAGAGCGACCTCCCAAGCTGAGCCGTCGATCCCCGTGTCAACTTCCTTCAACTTATCATTCGAGATCTTCCATCCGAGCGTATCTGTCCACATACCGATACACACACGAGCCGATGAGGAGGAGAGTTGGGCATACATCCACGCCTTCATAGGGCCCTCAGCCTCGAACATAACCTCGGCCTGCTGCACCGATTTACGTTTGTGAAACTGCGCCGTAGCCTTACGTGTCTCCGAAACTCTCCTACGATCCTGCGGTGCCGGCTGCACAAGCCAACCCAAATACTGATCATGATAGGGCCCGAAAGCATTTTGACAAAGAAGATCGGGAATCTTTTCGGCCCAGGCTGTGCACCACTCATTCCTGACCTCCCAGACCGTGTCTTTTGGCGTCCCATTCTTGAAATAGATCCTAAAGCGAGTCACAACAAACTTATTGGAATCCAGGTCCCGTTCAGTACGCTCCTTATCGAAAATGCTGCCCTCCAAACCGTCACGAGCACTCGATACAGCAAACAGCTTGGCGATCATATTACGTACAGTGCTCACGGGAAGCTTGGCCTTGTCACGGTTCTCAATCTTTCGAGGATCATCCTTACAGAAGCCCGAGATCTGAATCCACGTCGGTACATGAGGCTCAAAGGGTCTACGAAAGTCTCTGTGAGCCGATGCTCGAGTCG